ATCCAAAAACCGATGAAAAAACCCTGCTAGGTTTTTGTTGAGGGAACCAGGGTGATATGCTAACTTCTGATTAGCCTACAAAATTACATCACTGCAGCACTACATACGGGTGAGTAGCTCTCAGCAGGAAGACACGCCATATAGTGGATTTGAATGAATTTGACTGAAATAGAATGTGAGCATGAATCAGCGCTGAAGCTAATGAGAGCTTGAGCAAAAATAATGTGCTCTCGTTGCACAGCCTCATGCCTCAGAGTCTCTGAGACAGCAGCACAGCACGCTTTATGTTCACAACGCACATGATATATGAGGACCATACATCGAAACAGACGGACACGCTCACACACGTGTGCGGAAACAAGCTCGCATGCGGGGTTCTGTTTCACACACGCTTATAAAAGTCAAGAGGGTTATGAAAGCCTTATGTCATGGCCAGAACACAACATCTGGGTCCCTCTAAAAGTTTTAGAAGTTGCAAATGAATAATGACATTCTTCTGGTGGTTTTCAGGGAGGATAATTACGTAACTCATTTCTTAACATCGTCACACATAGTGTTCAGCGTTCACAGGGCCCTTGTAGAAGCGGTAGCAGCAGGCACATTTTGACGTTATGCATTCATCACGAACAGGGCCAAACATCTGATGTTCCTTATGTGGACAAATGTACAATGCATTTACACTTTTTTCCATCTAAAAAAATCAATTTATGCCCTTCCATAACCCCCTTTTACCCGCAAACACAGTCGGTTTGTAAAAATAAGTTTCCAGAGCGGGGAACCGAAGCATTCTGAGGTAATCAAATAAAACTGCCCTCAAAGCTTTTAATAAAACATGGCCATGTAGGGACATTCTTTTTTTAAGATTAATGGCAGAAAGGGGATTCTCTTTTTTTCCACTCATTCCTTTTATTTCTCAATAATTCATTTGCGAAGGGACGAAACTAACAGTTTGTGTTTATGTGCGGTATTGGCTGAAAGAACCGTCGCTGAGAGGATGAGAAATCAGTCGGGCCACCACACATTTTCCAGCGGCCCTTAATTAGTGTCTGCGCTTAAAAGGCCTGACGGTTCCAATATCACAGCTACTTTTAATATCTCTGGCCCAGTCGCTCATGTAATTATCGGACAGGGGTTGGATAAGGATACAGTACTTTGGCCATTTTTTATAACATAGTTATTCTGTTTCGTTTTATGTTTTTTTTGAGAGGTTTCTACTCTGGAGAATTGAAATGAATAAAGCACTCTGTAAAATGGAAGCTGATTAATACGCTCATTGAAACATTAAAAGCCTTATTACCTTGTAAACCCACCTTGCAAACAGCTTTATTGGCTTAAGATATAAAATTTTTACTTGTTTTGCTTATTTATTTAATTTTTGGGTGCACTAAGTATATTTAATGTACCGCTATAACCCAAAGCCATATTACAAGCACTTCTACAAAACACTACTTTAAAGTACAGTCATTTTCCCCAGTCATGCACAGCTGAGCTTTCCCTTTTACCACAGTGATAACAATAAAAAGTCAACAAATGCTGGGGTCCAAAATAAACATGTAAATTCTTGCAAAATCATTGCATGATTTGTACACCGTTTAACTGGTATGAAGTGGTATGGCCGTGGCCTTCATTTATTGCGGCAGGCATTAAAAGATTAAAAGGTTTTTCATCTGTCTGCGTTGTTGATGGCAGTCTCGAGTCATTAGCGCATTAGCATTAAGCCTACCCCATCAATAACAGCCCAGGTGAGTGATCCGGCTCCCTGAGAGAGTGATCCCGGGGCGGGGACAATGAAGCCAGCTTAGCCCTTGCTCTTCTGGAGTCCCTGATTAGCTTCGATAAGTCTGTCCAGGAAGATGAATCAGCTATAGCGGGAGAAATTAAGAGAGAGATGAAGTGAGGCAGAAGAGAGAGAAAGAGAATGAGAATGGGGACCTTCCTGTGTCAGAGCCGAGGTTAGGTGACATCTTTCAGATGAATGAGTGAAGATATACTGTGAACTTTAAAAAAAAAAAACATGTTACTATTAGACATTGAAATGTTTACCAGTGGAGCCTGCAGCTGTGCCTACCATGAGCTCATCAACTGACCTGAGAAAGATTTTGGAATTGTTCACCCAAACATACCATCCATGATGTAGATGAGCATGTTTCTTCATTGGAACTGATTTGGAGAAATTTAGCATTACATCACTTGTTCACCAAAGGATCCTCTGCAGTTAATGGGTGGCGTCTGAATGAGTGTCCAAACAGCTGGTAAAACATAACAATAATCCTTAAGTATTCCACATAACTCCAGTCTGTCAATTAATGTCTTGTGAAAGTCTCGAGTCATTAGCGCATTAGCATTAAGCCTACCCCATCAATAACAGCCCAGGTGAGTGATCCGGCTCCCTGAGAGAGTGATCCCGGGGCGGGGACAATGAAGCCAGCTTAGCCCTTGCTCTTCTGGAGTCCCTGATTAGCTTCGATAAGTCTGTCCAGGAAGATGAATCAGCTATAGCGGGAGAAATTAAGAGAGAGATGAAGTGAGGCAGAAGAGAGAGAAAGAGAATGAGAATGGGGACCTTCCTGTGTCAGAGCCGAGGTTAGGTGACATCTTTCAGATGAATGAGTGAAGATATACTGTGAACTTTAAAAAAAAAAAACATGTTACTATTAGACATTGAAATGTTTACCAGTGGAGCCTGCAGCTGTGCCTACCATGAGCTCATCGACTGACCTGAGAAAGATTTTGGAATTGTTCACCCAAACATACCATCCATGATGTAGATGAGCATGTTTCTTCATTGGAACTGATTTGGAGAAATTTAGCATTACATCACTTGTTCACCAAAGGATCCTCTGCAGTTAATGGGTGGCGTCTGAATGAGCGTCCAAACAGCTGGTAAAACATAACAATAATCCTTAAGTATTCCACATGACTCCAGTCTGTCAATTAATGTCTTGTGAAGCAATAAGCTGCGGGTTTTTAACAAATTATTGTGATGTTTTTATCAGCTGTTTGAACTCTCATTCTGATGGCACCCATTCACTACAGAGGATCCATTGGTGAACAAGAAATGCAAAATTTCTCCAAATATGCCCCAATGATGAATCAAATGCCTTTACATCTTTTGTGGCCTAAGGGTGAGTAGATTTTCAGAAAATGTTCATTTTTTGGGTGAACTATTCCTGTAATTATAAAATAATCATTCTTTTGAGTCGGTTCTTTCTTTTCACTGAACTGACCAAACAGGTTTGCAAAACGGTCTGAATTGATTTGCATTAATTTGGACTGCTCTCTCTCAGAATTATCTGAAGTGATTTTTCAGTCAGTTAAGAATCAGTGCTGGATGAACTGGATATTCACCTACAATTAAAGCTACTTTTGGATAGGTAACTTTTAGAAAATGTAGCAGTCATGTGAATAAACAGCCATTTGCTTCAAGTGTTTTTGTGTCCACCTGCACTGTTGTCCTATATGAACATATCCAGATGGATGTCTGGGTGGATGACTATTTCATTGCTTTTTGCTATTTTCATGTCGGTCTTAAAAGGTTTAAAATGCATCTAGAGACTCTTTCATTCTGCAGAGGTGTACTGTTTCTCTCATTGATCATGTGGTCTCAAGTCTCAAATAGTCTCAAGTCTTTAAAAAAGTGCAAAATATTTTATATATTATAGAAAATGAAAACATCTCTCCAAGTTGGATTTTTAACATTAGCATATATTGAGTTAAACTTTATAATTTTTTGCAAAAATCCCCTCCGTATGTGTACCCTCAGATAAAATCCTGTAGGCACCCTGGTGTTTACATGTGGACATCGGTTGGAGTCACTTTGCGTTGCAGTGTAAGAGTGTGTGGTATGTCTGTAGGTGAGCGTGATTTGACCAAGTACAACATGTTCCTGGATCAACATCCTTGTTGATCCTGGAAAATCAATCCAATTAACCAATCAGAATTGAGAGATAACTTTTCAAGAAATGTCAGTTTTAGGCTCACAATCAGGATTAGGTGCTTCTACACCCTTGTTAATCAGCTATCATTTCCCTCTGATTTTAGGAATAAATTATGGGTAAGGTTAGGTTTAGGGGTGGGGATTGGGGATTGGGTTAAGTCTGTATTTTTGGACAGTAATGTTGATCCAGGATCAACAAGATATTGATCCAGGAACATGTCTTACTTGGCAAAATCACGGTGACCGTGTCTGTACTAGTATCTCAGCATCAACATGCATTCACTCGGCTGTCACCATGGTGGTTTTCCTTACAGTAACAGTGGGGAATGAGTTGTGTCAGTGTGTCGATATGAGTGTAGTTGACACCCACCACATTGGCGCCAGAGCTTCCCACTGAAGATCTCTTCACAGTGCACGTCTATCACTGTGAGTGTTGCTGTCAGTCAGTGTCTCTGCTGTGAATGGCTTACAGACATAGAAACACATGTACTGTACTAGTGTATTCACTGGAGTCCTAACTGACCACAAGCACTTCACACTGGGTCTTTTAAATGTAACTAGATCATTAGGCCCACATAGAATCTGCACACTGATTGGAACAGGATTTTGGACCATTGAGATTACACTGGGTAGAGCTACAAACTGTAACACTGCAAAATAAACATCAAGTGACTGGACACAGGTGGCTGACATACAATATTAAATTCAAATATAATTCCATTTAATTTGACCTAAAAAAACCCAATCACTAATTGTTGAGGGACACACAAATAGGCTAACATATACTTATAGGCAATTTTTCAGTAACAAAATAATAAAAGTTCCCTTTTCTAATCTTTCAGTTTGTGCAGTTGCACCATTTGTTTTTATTTACCAACCTATAAACTAGGGATGCACAATATTTTGATACTGATAAGCCAATAATTATTTTAATATTATGGTCAATAACTGATCAATTGCATTGGTAAAAATTGTTTTAAAATTGATACATTGATAAACTACTAGTTTATTTTATTAGTGTAAAAATAAACTATAAGTGAATGATAGAAGACAGCAAGGGTTATAAAAAATATATATACAGATATCAGCATGCACAAATAAAATACCAAAACTGATTAATTAAAAATCTCTAATCTGATGTGTGACCCTCTTTCAACAGAGATGTGACTATTTCACTCATAAAGGCAGCTGAAATCTTTATTAAATTAACCCAAACTTTTAATTAATAAAAACAAGTAGCAGGGATACACAGAATTTGAGTAAAACATTCAAATTCTGTACAAATCTGCAATGCTTTCTGCAGAATTCGGTGGGAGCAGATTCAGTGCCGGTCTATATATCAGTTTAATCACATCCTATCCTAAGCTCTTTCATATCTGTATTACAAGTACAATGTAACATGTGTCAGCACATAAGACCAATAGGTGGAAGACAGTGGATTTGAAGTGGATAAGTAGATCAGTTTATTGTCAATACCCGCAGGTCAGCCATTTAGACTCTTCAGCCAACTGTCAGTGCTGGAGGGTGAAGTGCTTTGGTTCTATAGCTCATCGTGAATTGCAGGGCCATCAGTGTGATCCAGTGCACCTATCATGAGCAATGCCCCAGTGCTGTTGTCCCTGACTAGTATAATGAAAGAATGATCTGCATAGAAGATTTTTGGCTTCTCCACGTCCTCATCCTCATGCATACTTTCCTTGCTGCCAGACTCAGGGGCCAGCTCAAGGGAAGTCCAATGCAACACAGCTCCCAAGTGAAGCTTCCCCTGTCCCAGGCTTGATGCAGTGGAGAAATCAGCTGATGTCTCGTTCCAAGCATCTACCAGGCCTAATGCAGCTAGCTGTTTCTGAGTGAGAGTAAGGAGGGAAAAAACAGAAGGAGGAAAAAAGAGTGCAACAGTGAGAACTGAATGTATTTTCATACAAAATGATTTCTGATTCAGAAGGCAGGTGAAAACTAGACCCCAAAATCCTTCTCTGCTCCAAATGACTAAGATGGTGCGAATCAATTATGCAGACTACAATAAAAGAAAAAGCTCAAATATGAGCCAATAGAGACCTTGAAAATTTAAACATTCATGCCCTTTTATGACTCCCAATGGTGGAAATGAAAACACACACACACACACACTCCTCCTCAGACAGGTAGAAAGGACAAATGAAAGCAAAACATAAAGAGTGTCACTGTAAATCAATAATGTTTCAAAAAATCGGTTGTTTCCCCTCTTCATTGTCTCCGCTTTATTTTAAAGGCATGACAGATGCCCTTGTTGGCGGTGCAGGCGGTACAAAGCATGCGACAGGAGCTGAAGACGGTGGCCGAGGGAGAGCTGCTTATGAATAATTTAAAAAAAGATCTCTCTGACCTCGGCCCGCTTTTGTTTTCCTTTCAGATATGAATTTGGCAGAAAGATGCTCGCTGACAGATATATTCCCCCTGGATGAGAACCTGGATAAATGACAGTTACCCGCATAGAGAGAGAGAGACTGCGAGAGAGATGGCGAAATGAGGAAGAGGAGATAATAAGTGAACTGCTGTGGGAAGATTGAGAGACACCCAACGTGTTTGTGAAAGCCGAGACCGAATGGCAAGTGCTTTAACTGAATGATTAAGCGCTCTCGCCTAAATGACTATTGTAATTAAAATGGAGCGCATGCACACTCTATCTTGTTGCAAAAATGATGCATGCTCACTGGGAACAGCTGAGCTGGCGTGCCAGCTAGATTTGTGCAAAATTCAGAATTTAAGAATTGGCTCCAAATTAATGAATAAGTTGGAACTCTAATTGAATTGTCCTCACCTGACAGGAAGTTAAATTGGAATTGGCATTAGTATGACATGTATGCATTCTGGGAAATGAAGAGTTCTAAACGACTTAAAACAAGGTTTTGTCAAATTTGCTTTTCTAGATAACGTAAAAGTTACAGTTGTATGAATTCATCGGAATTCCATTTTATTTTTACTTATTTAAATTCAAACTCGAATTGCAATCAAAGACTGTATATACCCAGATGATAAGTGCAGCCCTCACTTTCAGCAGAATAAGGGGGTGTTCAGACAGAACACGTTTTTGTATTCCACTGGTTCTGCTGGTTTTTCCTGTGTAAATGAACGTCTTTGACTTTTGTACAGTCTCACACATGACATGGCATTCTAAAAGCACAGTGCGCAAGTTAAAATAAGTTTGACTTTTTAAAAACATCATGAGACCTTTTTTTCTCCCAATCCACCGGACCAACATGAAATATATGATTTTTTTTCGCTATTTGAGCACAAGAAACTACATTTATGGGACAGTTCGTGTCAAGGTTTCATTTTTAATTTGAAAAATGTTATTTAAATGTGAGTTTGGCAATCAGTTTTTGAGATTTCACTATTTTACCATTCAAGTAGATAGGAGTTGGTCTCGCATGCCTAAAAAACTGCCTGGAGGCATTGCAAATATGGCCACCAAGTGAACTGACTTTTCTTCAAAAGGGACTTTGAAGTAATTCTGCATCCTGTTTGCTACCTCAATTCAAATTCAGCAATTAAAAGGCATTCTCAATTCAATTCTGAATGGGTGCACAACCCTGGCGCTGGCATAGTGATTTGAATCAGAGGTTTTTAAAGGAGAAAAAAGGTGGAAAACAAGAGAAAGATGGACGGAGAGGTTGATAATGAGGCAGAGAGGTGGGGGAGGCTGTCATCTGCGCCAACACTGTTCAACTCTCTGCGGTTCTCTCTCTCTCTCTCTCAACAGTCTCAGCACACACCTGCACTAATGCACTTCTATTGTCCTCATCCATTATTCTCCTTCTCCTACCTCTTTCCTCCATCACTTCATCACTGCCTCATCCTGTCGGCCGCTCAGCCACCTCTGTGGCATCCTCATCCCTCATCAGACCATCCGCCGCTTGTTTAATTCCTCTCTTGCCTGCTCTCATGTGCTCCCTGTCTTTTTCCTGCTCTGATCCGAATGCCCAGGCTTGTATCTAAGCATGTATTTATGCTTCGGAGAATGACGGTCTTTCCTCTCTGTCTCCTGAGGCTTTCTCACCCTCTCTCACGGCTGTATGTCCTCGCTATACGGGCTGACACCGCATTGGGCGAATTTATTTCCCCTTAATTAATTCTCTGTGTTGTCTCCGAGGGTTTTTCCGGCACTATAGATGCAGATCCACTCCTGGGCCGCATAGCCTTGACCCGAAGCAGCTTGTTGCCACGATGGTGACATGGTGCCGTGTGTTACTACGACAACGCTGTCTCCAGCAATTAAAGTCATATGCAACATTAGCAGACATCTCCCAGCCTGCATTGTGACAGGCTCTATAAATAGCACGCCTCTTTCTTTGTCTCGCTCCATCTCGCTCTTTCTCCTTGGGATGGCGACACCTCTCGGGATGTGCAGATTTGCTGAGGTCACTTCATTTTTAAAAACAATCAGCGTTTAAATATTCAACGTGGGCTGTCATCATGCAAGCGTTCACCCTAGAAGCCCCCAGGGCCTGACGGACGAAAAATGCTCATTTCGCATATTCACTTAATCCAGATCTCTAAGATGCCACACAGCTATTAGCTTTGAGTCATTTGAAGCTAGTGAAGCTTTGCACTTCACTTCTACAAAATCCAATGCAGCTCACAGGACGCCCCGAAGGAAAAACAGGTAAACCCTCCCTAGGTGCAGTAAGCCCCAAATGAATTAATGACACGTTTGTGGAGAGGAGACGTGCCCAGCAGGCAGCTGGGATTGAGTGATGGGTCTGCAGATGAGTACACTAGTTTCTGCACTAGAAACAGATGAAAGGAGGCTAATAAATATCATGTAGTAATATGGCACACAGACTCCCAACTAATGCAGTAAATGTGATGGGCAGATGGAGGAAAACGAGAGAGGGAGAGAGATGGAGCGAGGAGGAGGGCTGTGTAAACATGGTTCACCTCTAATGCTGCTCATTGGGTGGAAATGGAGCGTCTCTATTTTCTTCTCTTCTCACTCGGTCTTCCTGTCTGTTTCTTTCTCAGGCCAAAGTTTTCCAAATGCAGCCTATCCTTGCGCTCCATTTTTTAAGCAAATTCTGCATTATACTGTAGCATAATTCAGGCGCCTAGATCAATAAACACAACTACAAAAACATACAGCTCATGAATAACGCACAAGAAGAAACTGCCCTAGAGTCAGCTGCATGTTGTATTTTCTATACAACATGATGGTGCTTGGGAATGTAAGGGGTGGAAATGGCCCACCAGCGGCACACGGAGCTTTCAGCAACTCCAGCAACTTATTCAGCCTCGCAGCATCACAGCAGTCTTTCAGAAAATGTCTTGGGCATTATTCAGTGGCAGAGTTCTTTATCGCTGTCTTATGTCTGATTTACATTTTCTGTCTCTCTCTTTTTCACTTTCTTCATGCACAATATTATTATTTTTTGTTTATCCTTTGCATCACACTCTGCCACAAAGAACTTCATGCCGTTTATCAGCCTCCTGAAATCACAAACTTGGTGAGAAGCATAAACCTGTTGGTTCAGAGCTGTTAACACATATGAAATGGATATATCAAATTGCAAAAATCATTTCATTCCAAATGATAAAGAAAACAGGCATAAACAGGGTTGGGAAAACAAGCACTGACCCTATAAATTAATTAATTAATAAATTAATGATAAAAAAAAAAAAAGATTTGAAGCAACTGGTTTCCAAAACATTTGATTTTTGTTATAAATAATATATAATATACTAAATACCCCATAATATACTAAATACCACTGAGGCTCAACTAAAATCCACAGAGTGATCAGTGCAAACCAATTTCCAAATGAATGATTCTTATGAGCAGGTTGTATAGTGAATTAAAAACACTTCTGAATCAATCGAAGCAGTTACAGAACCCTCCCCCAGGGGGAGCCACCAACTTTAGATAAAAAAGCATAATGCCAGGGTGACACAGGGAGACAATTGGCCATCAGGAGTCTGCTAATAGAAATTGTTGTTACAAGAGAAATCACACAATTTTGTAAGGCAAGAATAATTTTACAGCACTAAATCATTCATTTCTATGGTTTACGCAAACAGCGACTTAAAGGGTTAGTGCATCCTAAAAAAAAATTAAATTCTGTCATTAATTATTCACTCTCATGTCCTTCTATACCCACAAGTCTTTTCATTCATCTTCAAATCACAAATATATTTTTATTAAACCTGAGAGATGCGTACTTTGATGTGCTCAATGTATGTGCCCTGATCAATGCTTATACGTATATAAAAGTCTAAATTAAATCTGTTCATCATATAAAGCTATCATGTTCCTTTAGAAGACTTGGATTAAACCACTTGATTCATATGGATGTATTTATTAACTTTTTTAAAGTGTCAAAGTTTTGATGTAACAGACTACCAATGGAGGGATAGAAATCCCTTATGTTTCATTAAAACTAAATAAAAAATTTTTTTAATCAAGTATGAATGATCAATTATGAATCAATGATGAATGATTCAGTGATTTCAAAATATTTAATTATTTTGAATTAAAAAAAATAAATGAACGCATAAGTTACCTTTTTTTGGTTTATTTTTATTTAATGCATAGTTAGGGCAAATTATTAGATTGCATTTATGACTTGTGTGCCTCATTAAAAAGTATTTTACAATAATTACCTTTATTTCTGATTCGTTATATCTGCTCTGTCGACAACTGAAATGATCTCATCATTTGGCAACAAACCGATGAGGACAGTAAAAAAAAAAAAAAATTCTATGCGATTCAGTTTGCCCGGTGTCCCCCCAAGTTCAGCGGCATCCACTTCACATCGGTGAAGGCAGCCGATGCTCCTGTCTTGCGTGTAGAGATCGCAGTCCTACTGGCGA